CCCCTTGGTCTGTAATACGATCACCCCCATGACCTTGGAGTGTGCCCCGGTGGTACACCGGTTGGCATCTCCACCTGAGTTGTACTCGTTCGCCCGGACGGGGGAATGCCGGACGAGTGTTACCGAAAACTTGCCCCTCTCTATCTCGACCCCGCTGCTGCTGCTGCTCGGAAAGTGTGTTGAAAATTCCTGCCATGATTGTTCAAAGCGCCATTGCTTAAACTTGCACAAACCACAAGTGACACACAGCTGTGCAGCAGCAGGAGGGCGCAAACCGAACCAGCTTAAACTTTTGGAAAGGCAAACTTTGCTCCGCAAACAGAGCGCTCGGCAGCAGCGAGGGGGTCCCGTATACCCGGAAGAGACTAACAAAGCAACCACCTCAAAATGCTCAAACAAAAACCACGCATGCTGGTCGCCGACTCGGTCGCGGAGTTTGTCCGGGCAGTACTGTACCAAGCACACACTGGCATTCCGAGCACACGCATCCGCCTCCGAAAAAATAATTTAAGTAACAATCAGAAATTCGGGCAATAAAGCACTCTTAACTTTATCATTTTTATTTAAAAGTGCAAACGACTTCTTAAAGGGGAATATGAGGAATAAATGGACACGGCACGGCAAGAGCGCCCCCCTGGCACCCGTGAAAGGGACCTTAACCTAAATTTTTGACAGATGCCTTTCTGACAGGACGAGCAGCAGACGACACGTCGCGGGTACGAAACGCGCGCGCTGCCTTTAACCTCTTGTCCTGGCCCTGACGCGGTCCTGACCCCGCGCCGAGGACGCACGCACGCGACGCGGGGCCCTGCCCGCCTTGCAGGTCAGGAATAACTTTGGGTCGGCATGACAAGACAGCTCCCCGCCGTACAGCACCGCGCGGCTGGCCGACCGCGCAGACGACACGCAGCAGAGTAAACACTGGACGAACCTAACCTCACTTCCGCGACGGGCTTTGTCTTCGCGGGGGGACCGCTCGCGGCCGTCGAGGTTCGTCGACGGGGCTGTCGGGGATCAGGAACACCCCGTGCGCGCACCGGATCGGCCTCGGGGGGCGGTCCGCGGCCGCGTCTGGCACTCACCTGATGTCTCGGGGCGCCGTCTTGGCGGCGACGTAGAACCAGCGGTAGCGCCGCCCCGTGCACAGGTACACGGCGCCCGCGACCAGCAGCATCTGCACCAGCGACGCCCAGCCGAGGAAGAAGGCCGACAGCGAGGCCAGGACGACGACGAGGAGCACCATGGCGGCGGTGACGGCCACGCGGCGGCAGACGAGGAGGGTGGTGCTGCGCCTCGCGCCCGCGCTGCTGGCGCACTGAGCCTGCTGCAGCTGGGGCTGGACAAGCAGCCCGCCCTCGACGTCATCGGTCTGGAGGGAGAGAGGGAGCAGAACGGACTTTAGACACTGGGGCGGGGCGGCCAGCGGCATCTCGCGGACGCGGGCCGAACGCGGGCCGCGGCCGCGGCGCCTACCGGCCGGCACGGGCGGCGCCACCTCGCGGCGGGCGGCCGAAGCGCATCGCGCGTGGGGAGCGCGCGCTCCGGCCGGGGAGTTTGAATGGACGCGCGGAACGAACCAACCCCACGTCGTCGGCTGAGAAGTGTATCATTCAAAAAACAATTTTGTACACTGTCAAAAAAATCATAAAAAAAATCGGAAAACAGGAAAAAATCGGAAAAAGTCAGACGAAATTTAAAAAAAGTAATGTTAAAAACAAAAAAATTAAGAAAACATAAAAATTGGTGCACTCTTGAATGCATAGTGAAGTACCCCTAGGCTGATGCCCCCGGACCGGATAGGCGCGCCGAGCCCCGCGGGCTCAACGCGACGGTGGTGGAGTCGTTCGTTATCGGCCGCTCGAGCGCTCCGAGGCTCCAGTAGGGCGCTCCAAGCATCCCAACCAAGACCGGTCGGCCGCCAGGCCATACAGCGACAAATAGACGCATAAACGACGCCATCAAGCGTCAAATACTAACATCGGCGCAGCCGTGGCTCACCTTCACTACTCATTAGCAAGGGAAAGCCGGGCACCTATTCCGTGCAAAAAGTCCGACGGTGCAGATTTTTATCCAACCGGATCGAACAACCCCCCTAATGAAAAGTGTACGAATTATACCGCAATATCGGACAGGTTCTTGGCACTGCCGTATAGCACGAGTACAGCGGCAGCCTCGTTCCAGAAAGGGGGGGGGGGCAACAAATTTTGAAGTCTTGAGGAGTAACTTTCGTGCCATTTAACTATCAACACGGCACGACACGAGAACGCTAGGCATGGCAACTCGTCACACGCGAACGCCGAGTCCATGTATGGGTGAAGAGGTCGCCCGGGTCTCCGAGTAAGAGAGAGAGAGGGAGAGAGATGTCACCGAGTGCGCTCGTGCAGCGCGCAGTCGCATTGCTGCATTCCACCGTCCCGCGGCCCGCGGCTCGCTCGGCCCGGCACCCGCTGACCTACCGTACGTCGGCCGCCGCTCGCCCGCCGGGTAGGCAACACATTCGGCGCGCCCACCGCGCGGGGAGCGGCGGCAGAGTCGGGCAGGAGTCCATCCACGACATGTACACGAAGACATGCGACCGGCCAAACGCAACTATTAGCTGTTTGTCAGATAGTTTACTCGCTTGTCAGAATAATTTGCGATTTCCTCTGAAAATCCAAACAACATATCGATGCGTTTGAAAATCGAAAATATCGGGGGGTTTGTTTCCATCCGAGATTGGCGATGGACCCTCTATCGGCACGGTGTCTTGTGGTCGGGCGCTGCTGGGGCCGTGGCCCTGTTTGATGGAAACTGTCGTGATCATCGCCGAGTCGGCTTCCGACGTTTTAACGTCCGAGCGAATTTTAGAGCAGTAGCCTTCGGGCTTTCTCTTCCTGCAAGCAGAAAAAAAAGGGCAGCAGCAGCAGCTGCTGCTGCTGTTGCTTTGCTCGGATGGTGATAATTTAGATCGGCGTCGTCCCACGACGTGGAGGAGGAAGACCAGCGGGGCTCGAGTCGTGCGGGCGAGTGGTTGACACAGGTTGTCGACGTGGTGGCGCTCAGACAGACGGTCGGAAGGACAGACAACTTGACAGACAGACAGACGGACGGACGGAAGTGAGCACATTGAACTGCAACCTGGCACCGGGGGTCAACAGAGAAGGGAGAGAAGAAATCACACTTCACCCGCGGGTATGGGTCTCTCTAATAAGAAGCGAAAATAGACGCCGGTCGCGCGAGTAAATATGCGATATATAAAGGGTGACGCCATGTTTTGGTGACGACGCGGAGCTCCTGTCGGCGTCCGGCTCACAAGTGGCGTGTGCAATTACAGAGTTTTTCACACCTTTTTGCCCCCTTACCTTGACTAAATCTCGTGGCCCGGCTGGAAAGCCCACGTGGTTTTATGAGTGACTTATTCAACAGTATGACGGAGGCTGAAAATAATTTCCACCACTTTTGAGGTGCACCTACCTCAGCGTCATGACACTAACTGTGCCATCGGGTAATAATCGTAACACTTGCTAACGTGCAACAAAAAGAAGCAAAGTACACACTAAAAGCTTATGAACAATTTTATTCATAGCTCACTAAGTTATGTGTACGTGCTCCGCTTACGCATTTTTTAAAACGCCAGTATGAACAAATTCGTTTATGTTGAATAATGCATAAGCAGAGCACGTACAGAGAACTCAGTAAGCTATGAATATTGTTCTTAAGCTTTTAGTGTGTAATTCTTGGCAGCTGAACGCTTTAGAAGCATAGTGTAGCGCAGCAGCAACACATCCGAGATCCTAACACTGGGCGGGCACACGATGCGTCCGTCTCTACTTCTCGGAAGATTCGAAGGAGGCGCCCCTTTGGTTTTTTTTGTTCCGTGACTAACGCCCCGCGCCCTAGAAAGTTTGACAATAAGGATTCGCCCTGGTTGCGGCGTGGTGCGCGGCTACGGCTCGGCTGCCAAACAACATCAACGCATTATGCATAGATTTGCGATACGCCCTTCCGCCAGCTTGCGCACCACCACCACCACCCAAAAGCGCGCACGAAATGGTCACGGTAAGGTCCGGCTTGGGTCAACGTTGACGTCCGTTCAGATATTTATTTCCACAAAAACTCGTAAAGGTACTGCTTCTATTTGCCTACCAGTGGCGCCATGCGGGTAGGCAACCCTCACTCGAGCGCCTGTGTGCCGTACAGCGTGACCACAGTGTGACCACCACTCAGGCTTATACTCTTACTCACGGGGACGTCTGCTACCTGTGCTGCCTCGCTGCCCTGCCCAGCACTCTGACGTTTAATGACATACCATTACGAACCACCGTGAGGCGCTTTTACTTTGGACCATTACCGATACATGCACCCTTGCACATGGTGCACCACATGTCTAACCTCATCACTTTACAAACGTCATTATGTGTATACTTCTCTTACTCTCAAATAAGCTACTGTTTTGATTGTATGTCAAACTATTTTTTTTTATCGTTTTTGCCCTTTTGAAATTTTGATTTAATTTTTTCCGGATTTATTTTAGGCTATAATGTTTCAATGAATGTTCGAAGTGATCGCCGCTCCTTGGGGCATGCACCATGCACCATGCACCCCGCCCAACTCGCGCGCATGAGTTCCACTTTCTGCCCGCCGGCCGGCGCCACGCGTGCCGACACGGCGCATGCGCAGGGAAGTCGGGCACGAGCGCCGGGGCACGAGCATTACGAGCAACGGGCACGTGCACGAGCACGGGGCGCGCTCTTGGGAAGAGGAGGAGGAGATTACCGAAGCGACAGAAGCCAGAGCAGCGAAGAAATTTAGAAATACATAACCAGTTTTCATCGCCGCGCAACTTCTTGGCGGGAGCGCCACGCGCGCGCCGCGGGTGAATGAACTATTGCTTAGACTCGGGCAATTTTCATCAAAAAAATAAAAGGAATAGGATAACAAAACAAAGAGGCCAACCGCGGCGAAGATAGGAAAATTAAGGCAACGCGGCGCAATACATAATGGCGAAAATCAGACGCTCTCGTCACGCGCCTTCGTCCGATGGGAACCAGTTTTCGACATTCGCGCGCAGGAGGTTGTGTCGTTCAGACCCGACGACGGCAGCGGCCCGCCCTGTCGACGGAACGGGAAATGGCTGTTGCACCTCTACAGTGTCAGAAAACTGTTCGAAAAACAATTAGAAGATCGTGGAGTGCCCGAAATTTGTCTTAAATTTGTCCTAAATTTGTCTTAAAAGCCTATACTTCCAGACTTTCCCCAATTTATTAGTTATGACGACCATTTTCTTTTAGTGTAAAGCTACCTATTAGCTAAATAATTAGTTACCCTGTATTTAGCTAACTGGTTTACATTGAGCTAACATTTTTTTTGAGCATGCTCTCCCACTACTGCGTGCCTTTGCGGTGCAGAAAGCTATAAAAGCGTTCGGATCGAGAGACTTGGGGGGACAGACACATCGCCTCGACGACGGAAGCCTGCAAGCGCAAGCCTTATTATTGCTCTCCCTGCAGGCAGGACGCAGGACACCTTCAATGAGAATGACAGTCCCTGCAACAATGCCGAGCCGGGCCGGCGCCCCCGCGCTCGTCGCGTCGCGTCGCATCGCGCGCGCGCCTGACAAAGAACGAAAGTAGCTTTCCGGTCCCGCAGGTCGTGGTGGTCACAATGAAATTGCGTTACAACGACCCGTGGTTGGTTGGTGCGCTACTGCGGCGCCGCGACACTGCAGAGCAGCAGAGAGGGCAGGCAGGGGGGGCGACTCTCCACTCCACGCGGCTCTCCCCGCCGCCACTGACGTGACGAGATGAGAAGGAGAGCAGATACGGTAGTACAGGACAGAGCACACGCAGGACCGAGGGCGGAAGAGATGTTAAAGAGAAACGTCACAGTGAGGAATTTTAACAAAAGTCACTAAGAAATTAAAGTATTATGTTTTACAAGATTTCGTAGGAACGACTAAGGTAATGCGGCTGACAGCCGTTAGGTAATCCGGCAGGGGTAATCCGAGGAAATTCTAAAAAATCCGGGGTAATCCGGGGTAGTCCTGGAGAAAAAGCAACGTAATCCGAAGGACATTCCGCGGAGGTAATCCGGGTAATCCGTAATCCGGCTGACACAAAGTTTAACAGTCGTTCCCCCCTCGACTCCGATCCCTCTTTGCGATCGTCCAGAAAGTACGTCCATTTTCCACACAGATGCATTTGGCAAATCACGGGGAGCTCGGCGCCTGTGAGACTCGGGGTAGGCCACCCCGCAGTACGCGCGTGCACTGCAGACAAAGATGTTGCCTACCCAACAGGCGCTATACGGGTTCTCGCAGAAACTGGGTTCGGTGGTACGGTGAATGGCGGACATGCTTTCTGAATGATCCCTTAATTCTCCCCCATTCAT